TCTCCAGCACCTTATGTTCACTCTACAATCACTGCTTAATTCACTCATTCATCCCATCACAATGGAAATCCAGTACAATCCATCCAATTCCTAAAACAAAACACCCACCATCACCAATAGATTATCGCCCAATATCTATCACCCCCATTCTCTCACGTATTCTAGAAAAATTCATTGTTAGGTCATTCATCTATCCATGTTTCAACCATACATCCATCAAACCACTATTACAAGACCAGTTCGCATTTCGACCAACAGGCTCATCTACATCCGCTATCATCTCTCTTACTTCCACAATAACATCTTTCCTTAAAAATAATAATTATGTTCATCTTATTGCCCTTGATTTCTCTAAAGCTTTTGACACTCTCAATCACTTTTCACTTTCAAATAAGTTAGCCTCTCTTCCATTACCTGACAACATTTACAATATCATAATTAATTTCTTATTTAATAGGAGTCATTCTACTTTTTTTAGCTCTACTCTTTCGTCTACTCTACCTATTAACTCTAGCGTAGTTCAAGGTTCTGTCCTTGGCCCATCTACCTTCATCATCAACGCTTCTACTCTCAAAACTTTCCATAGCTCAAATCAAATCATCAAATACGCTGACGACACCTACCTTATCATCCCATCATCTAGCTCAAACACCATCCAATCAGAACTCGACTTATTAACTACATGGTCAAAACGATGCAATCTTTCACTTAATCTCAATAAATCATTTGAACTCATCATTCACAACAGCCGTAAAAAAATAACATTACCTCCTGAACACCCATCAATTACTCGCACAAATCAACTAAAAATATTAGGCATCACATTCACCTCCACACTCAATATAGCACATCATATCAATTACATCATCACAAAAGGCTTTCAAACATTTCAAGCACTCAAAACACTCCGTTCACATGGTCTCAGAGGCGTCAAATTATTCGACATCACAGAATCACTCATCATCTCACGCATCAAATATGCAGCTCCATCCTGGTCTGGTTTTGCCACGCAACAACAACTTCAGCAGCTACAATCTCTCATCAAAAAATTAATTCGCTTCAACTGCCTACCTGCATCATATCCTACCGTCACTCAGATATTCAACACACTCGATTCAAGGCTGTTCAAGAAAATAGAAAATAACAACAACCACGTCATCCATCCTCTACTACCACCAATCAAAACTACAACACACAACCTTCGTCAGCGCAAACATAAATATCAAGTCGTCGCCCAATCTACATACCAGGAAAAGACCTTCATCACAAGACACCTCAAACATATTACCACTTAAGAAAACATCATCATTACTGAACTAGTTTTTACTTACTGATCACCTCACTTTTATCGATCACCTCACTAACTCACTAAGTCACCATTTAGTCCATTAATAAGTCACCAAATATATTAATACTCATTAAACTTTTTCACACACAGGCCTAGCCTTTATCTATCGATCACCTCACTAACCCACTAAGTCATCATCTAGTCTATCAACTTGCCGTTACTTCATTTTATATTCCATCGTCAATTACTTTTCTTTTATTTGTCTTATTATTATTTATTTTATTCTAACATATTTTATTTTTCATGTTTTATCATTTCTCTTCCTCACTTTTTGTATTTATTTTCTCACTTATTTGTTTAATTTTGTTTCACTGCCTTGCATGTTGTTACAGTTTCTGCGTCTGTCAGATCCTGATTTTTAAAGAATAAAAAAAAAAAAGATGCAGAGCAGTGTATACAGCAGCCGTAGGGGATTCAGAGAAAGGCCTAAACAAAGATATTAGAACGGGTCTTAGCCGATTTAGAAACGGTCACCACATAGCAATACGAAACTACAGGATTTGTATTTATGTATTTGTATTGGTTTTATGACTGTTTCAATAGTTGAATTTAGTAAATGTCTGTTAATTTCATTTTAAAGAGTTTTTAATTTATTTTCTCGATTTGAACAGTTTATTTCCATAAGAAGAAAATGATAAATTATTAAAATATTTGTTTACGTATTGGGCTTTCATCAAAGAAAAGTGCAAACTGTGGATTGGACAAAGAAGAAACAAAACCCCTATGGTTTGAATGTCCCCTTTTGATGCAAGTGAGAAGAGAGTATGGTCTTGGGGGTAATGCTCGGTGAACTCAGTGAATGTCCAGCTAAGGCTGGAGAGATGGTGAGAGGGAGATCCTCAAAAGACTGAAGTCTGCGAATCATAGAGCGACTACAAAAACAGCAGCAACAAAGAGAAAGTCTTGCAAATATAACTTGCAATTTGCAGTGACATGGTGTTTCACAACCAATAACTGAACATGCCACCTGCACATTAAAAATGAGGCTATCAAGTTTGACAAAATCCGGTATTCTTGAGTGTTACATATGATAGACTGCTCAATTTTGGATCCATATACTGTAAACTTCGCCGAAAATGAAATAAACAAGATTCTCAGAGCTCTCAGAGATACGGATTGAAGGCGAATGAGGAAATGGAAGACATGAGTAGCCAAGTCACACACAAACGAACTAGAAACCAAACAATTTGAAACAACTTGAAACTGCTAGAATTGTCACCAGAGTAATGAAAAGCTTCCCATAAGAAGTGGTGTTAAAGGAAGATAAACTAGAAAATATACGGCAACGACTAGATCACATAAGTATAAAAAAAGCATTTGCATGGTATTAACAGAACAGAAAAGACAATAAAAAAGATATTAGACAGCAGGATCAAAGGAGAAGACTGGCAAACTAAAAATGTAGTACCAGTCAAGAGAATTGTCGCAGAAGTTGAGATCCAACAGCAGAAAATATAATAAGCGCAATGGAAAAGAAATCAGATCGATAAAATGAAAGCGAACACCAAAAAAGGATACACCTGAGAATTTGAAAAAGGCAACAAATGAAATAATGAAAACAAAATTTCAGAATTTCATAACATTTAACCAAAACTCTGGAAAATATAGCAATGGTGTGATAATTTTAAACAACTGCAAATCAGATAGTTTCAATCCAATATTTATAAAAAATGCACGTACTAAAAACAACACCTTGGATGACCATGATGATAAACAACGATAGCGAAGCTGTGATATTTTTAAAATATATATATATATGGGCATAAAGTTAATTAATGCTAAGTGGGCAAAAATATTAAATGAAATTTGCGTAGCAGAAAACCTCGTCCCAAAACACATTATATATTGTCAGAATTATGGAATAATACTGACTAAAAATACTTCAAAGTCCTTCAACGCAAAATTTATTCACTCGATAGGGGGGCCTGATGCAAGTTAATTTACTCAATAGGTGACAAGACGATTTTTTGTTTGTTTTGCAATTTAGATGACGTCGTAAATTATTACAAATTATTTTAAAATTTAATTAGTAGTTTTTTTTTGATTAATTTGACATACCTTGGAAATTTTTATGTTTAAAAACACCCGAAACAAAATATAATTTTGCTTTGATATAGAGTTTCTTTATCTTTAGAAGGAAGAGAGTCCGCACTGGGTTGACTAGTTAGGCAGCCTTGAATAATCGGTGCCTATTCTGGTCTCTAAGAGACTTAATTCGATATTCTATGCTCATTGGCACGGTAACGTCTTAAGTTCTCGAAGAGAGTCCGCATTGGGTTGACTAGTTAGGCAGCCTTGAATAATCGGTGCTTATTCTGGTCTCTAAGAGACTTAATTCGATATTCTATGCTCATTGGCACGGAAACGCCTTAAGTTCTCGAAAAGAGTCCGCCTTGGGTTCACCAGTTAGGCAGCTTCGAGTAATCGGTGCCTATTCTGGTATCTAAGAGACTTAATTCGTGATTCTATGCTCATTGGAATAGTTTCAGAAATGTCTTAAGTTCTCCAAAGTGGATTTGGTACGAAACTCTATGCTCATTGGCATAGTTTCGCACGCGTACCAAAGTCACACAATTTGTTCCCAGTATTGTTCTGACTCTTGCTGTTTTGTGTTGGTTGTGCGAAAGCCAACCAGACTCGACGACCCAGTGAAAACATGCCAGGGTTGTGCGAAAGCCGACCAACTGACTGACAGGCCCAGTGAAAACAGGCCCTTGGTCGTGCGAAAGCCGACCAGACTCAACGGCCCAGTGAAAACAGGCCAGGGTTGTGCGAAAGCCGACCAGACTCGACGGCCCAGTGAAAACAGGCCAAGGTTGTGCGAAAGCCGACCGACTGACTGACAGGCCCAGTGAAAACAGGCCTTGGATTCTGTGAAAACGAATCCGCCTCGTTGTTTTGTTTTTGTAGTGCTATTTGTGGACCTAGGGTTCTTTGCTGGATTCTATACTCATTGGTATAGTTTCGCATGAAGCTTGGAATTTCCATAGGCTCCGATTTTTGTAATTTTTCTGCATTCATTTTTTTTTATCTCTCGGAGTTGTATCGGTCACACAGGTCGAAGTTGTACGATTGAACGGCAAGAAACATATTCCAAGTTGCCCGATCCAACAAGAAGAAGTTCTAATTCCTGTATTCCAGTTTGTTCATTGACATTATTTTTATCATTATTCTAGAGTTCAGTTAGTTCAATTCCTTTTCATTTACTTCCGTCGATTAATAAAATTGTTATCGAATATTTTACGCGTTCGTGTGTTACTCAGTAAAATCACATAATTCGAAAAAAACCAGTGCCACCCAGGACTGGTCGAACTCACGATAAAAATATACAAAAAAAAATTATTTTCGGACCATAAAAAAATTCCCTGAGTAAGATAGAGGAAGAGATTACCTCACTTCCAGTTCAAATTTCCGACAAGTTGCGCCCAACGTGGGGCCTCGAATAACAATTTTTCAAGTTATCGAAGTTTCCATGTTACTTTTAATTATTACTTCAGTTTTGGAAGTATCGAGTTTTTTTTACGATTAATTTACTGAGCAACTCGTTGTAAAATATAACAATTTTTCTTGTTTTTGCATTTCTATTACATTATTGAGTAATTGCACACATTTGATATTTTGATAGTATTAAGATTGGTTTTTGAGTTGCACTATGCCAAATCGCAAAACATACCTTAGGCAAAGTGAGATGCCAGATGAGGAAGCAAATGTAAATAATAGAATTTTTAGTAAAACTAAAGAGTGGAAAGTTAGTAGATTCAATGGCTCAGAAGATATAACTGAGTATTTTTGTCAATTTGAAATAACCGCAAAAGTAAATAAGTGGACATCACAAGAAAAAGCACTATCTCTTTTGCACGCACTAGATGGGAAAGCAAGAGGTGTATTTCACGAATATCCAGATATTGATACAGTCACGTATAACGAGATTAAAGAGCTGTTGTTTAAACGATTTGGACCATCAAACTATTCAGAAACACACGAGTATAGTTTATCGCAGCTTAGATTACAAAAAGATCAGAACATTCGAGATGTGTCTTAGGAAGTTAACAGACTATCAAGACTATCCTATCCAGAGTAAAGTAATGACATAAGAGAAAAGTTTGCAGTAAAACATTTAATTAATGCTATTGGTAATAAAGACATCATGTTCTATGTAAAAGATAAAGAACCGAGAACATTAGATGAAGTATGTCAGCTATATGAGAAATATAAAGTTTTATCAGATGATGGCAAGAGAAATCATTCGAGATCTTTAGTTCAGATAGTTCAAGATAATGACGAGTTTGATGACAAGAAATCCAATGTTGTTAAACAAGATGATCCAATTACAAATATGAATAACAGAATAGAAAAATTGTTCAGCATGATTGATGAGATTAAACGAGATAAGTTTGAAAACAGAAATAACAGTCAGAGAAAAGATTTTAACAATAAGTTTGGAAATAATAATTTCATTAGAAACAACAGTGCAGAGTAGTACTGGATTTTCACCTTTTTTCCTAATGCATGGTAGAGAAGCGACAATACCGATTGATTTGGCGTATAACACGGAGAAGTTATCACCAAAGCAAATGTACGAATTTGTGAAGGAACAGAAAGAAAATTTAACACAAGCATTTGAATTAGTGCGGGATCATTTAAAGAGATCAGTAGAAATAACTAAGCATAATTATGACTTAAGAGTAAAGAATAAACAATTTTTAGAAGGACAAATGGTTTATTATTATAACCCAGAGCGTGCTAAAAATAAGTATCCTAAGTGGACAAAGTTATATGACGGTCCTTACATGATTTCAAAGAAAATAAGTGATGTAAATTTTGAGATTAAGAAGTGTAATGGTTATAAAACCATTGTCGTACACATAAATAAATTGAAGCATGTATAAAAACAATGTTTTTGTTTCCTGTGTTTTGTTTAATTTTAATTTAATTCTGTTTGTTTTGTTGTATGCATATGCCATTATATAGAGACTTATTATTTAAACTGTACAATTTTTCGGCAACTGGCACACAACGTATAAAATTGGTGTCGGATTGCAAATACATCATTCAATGGTACATCATACAATGAATCAATATTACGTTTATATACGCGTCTTACTTACTGAACTATCTTTCGTTAGTAAAAATAAAACAGACGCCAAATTAAATTTTAAAAACTTTTATTAGGAATGAAGTAGTAAACAGTCTTTTTTAAATAAATTAAAAAAATTCAAAAGTAGGAATGTCTCCAAGTTCCCGGATTAGCGCCTGCACATCTGTCTCGTCCAACTCGAGAGTGATGATTTCTCCCACAACGTCGTTGAGGTTGGGTACGCCCCTCTGATCTTCTGCGCTTGGCCTCGTACTTTCGTTCTGTGCTGGCTTGTCTGCTTTATTAGCTCTCCTCCCCATACAATTGTATTTCTTATGTCTAAGCAGATGCCTAGACCTTTGCCCCACTAATCCACACTCGCATATTTTTTTTTGTCACTGGGGTTTTGTTTTTTTCCTGATTCATATTTTATTTTTTATTTTTTATATATACTCGACAGAAGAAAAACAAAATATGATTTTTGCAAGCGGACGAAATGCGTGCCTTCTTCTCATTGGTTATGGCATTCCTTTCCTATAATCATTATGCGCACAATTTTTTTTTCGTTTTGTTTTTATTTTTTTAAATTTCTTTTTATTCCATTTCATTTTTTTTCGTTTTTTTCGTATTTTTGTTTTTATTTTTTTTTGTTTTTTTTTGACCAGAAAGAGGGGGTGGTGGAAAGTGTCAGAATTATGAAATAATAATGACTAAAAATACTTCAAAGTCCTTCAACGCAAAATTTATTCACTCGATAGGGGGGCCTGATGCAAGTTAATTTACTCAATAGGTGACAAGACGATTTTTTGTTTGTTTTGCAATTTAGATGACGTCGTAAATTATTACAAATTATTTTAAAATTTAATTAGTAGTTTTTTTGATTAATTTGACATACCTTGGAAATTTTTACGTTTAAAAACACCCGAAACAAAATATAATTTTGCTTTGATATAGAGTTTCTTTATCTTTAGAAGGAAGAGAGTCCGCACTGGGTTGACTAGTTAGGCAGCCTTGAATAATCGGTGCCTATTCTGGTCTCTAAGAGACTTAATTCGATATTCTATGCTCATTGGCACGGTAACGTCTTAAGTTCTCGAAGAGAGTCCGCATTGGGTTGACTAGTTAGGCAGCCTTGAATAATCGGTGCTTATTCTGGTCTCTAAGAGACTTAATTCGATATTCTATGCTCATTGGCACGGAAACGCCTTAAGTTCTCGAAAAGAGTCCGCCTTGGGTTCACCAGTTAGGCAGCTTCGAGTAATCGGTGCCTATTCTGGTATCTAAGAGACTTAATTCGTGATTCTATGCTCATTGGAATAGTTTCAGAAATGTCTTAAGTTCTCCAAAGTGGATTTGGTACGAAACTCTATGCTCATTGGCATAGTTTCGCACGCCTACTAAAGTCACACAATTTGTTCCCAGTATTGTTCTGACTCTTGCTGTTTTGTGTTGGTTGTGCGAAAGCCAACCAGACTCGACGGCCCAGTGAAAACAGGCCAGGGTTGTGCGAAAGCCGACCGACTGACTGACAGGCCCAGTGAAAACAGGCCCTTGGTTGTGCGAAAGCCGACCAGACTCGACGGCCCAGTGAAAACAGGCCAGGGTTGTGCGAAAGCCGACCGACTGACTGACAGGCCCAGTGAAAACAGGCCTTGGATTCTGTGAAAACGAATCCGCCTCGTTGTTTTTGTTGTGCTATTTGTGGACCTAGGGTTCTTTGCTGGATTCTATACTCATTGGTATAGTTTCGCACGAAGCTTGGAATTTCCATAGGCTCCGATTTTTGTAATTTTTCTGCATTCATTTTATTTATCTCTCGGAGTTGTATCGGTCACACAGGTCGAAGTTGTACGATTGAACGGCAAGAAACATATTCCAAGTTGCCCGATCCAACAAGAAGAAGTTCTAATTCCTGTATTCCAGTTTGTTCATTGACATTATTTTTAACATTATTCTAAAGTTCAGTTAGTTCAATTCCTTTTCATTTACTTCTGTCGATTAATAAAATTGTTATCGAATATTTTACGCGTTCGTGTGTTACTCAGTAAAATCATATAATTCGAAAAAGCCCAGTGCCACACAGGACTGATCGAACTCACGATAAAATTATACAAAAAAAAAATATTGTCGGACCATAAAAAAATTCCCTGAGAAAGATAGAGGAAGAGATTACCTCACTTCCAGTTCAAAATTTCCGACAATATATATATATATATATATATATATACATACATTCAATATACATACATATATATATATACAATTCTAGTCATTTACCACTACCAATTCCAAAAAATGAATTAGCGGCGCCTGCTACGAATATGTACAGCTGAAGCGCCCTTCGTTGGCCTGGTTAACACATTATATAAGCAAATAGACGGTGTAGCAATGGGCTCCCCATTGACAGTACACTTTGCAAACCTCTACGATAGATATATTGAAGAAATTTTATTTAAAGAAGAACCAAAGTTAAAGCCTGATATATACTGCCGATACGATGATGATATATTTGTACGATTAAGATGATCTAATAGAAATTTTTTTACAACGACTAAATTCATCAAATTGAAGTTTGTAATCGAAAAAACAACTGACATTAAACTACCATTCCTAGACGTACTAATACAAATTGAGCATAATGAATTTAAAACCTCAGTACACAGCAAAGCAACGAACAAAGGTTTATGACATAATGGAAATAGTGAATTTTGTCAAACGTATCAAAAGAGCACGACCTCTGCTGTTGTTAACCGAGTCTATACGCAATCTTCTGATGTGGGGAGCAGGAGAACAGAACTAGAGAGAAGAGTCACTAAGCTATTCACTAATAATGGATATAAAAATTCCATGATCCAGAAAATAATAAAATGCAAAGAACAAAAAATCAGCAACTACATCAATAATGCAACAAAAATCATAACAAAAATAACATAGTAATATAAGAACCACATGTCAACTGCTTTTGATCAGGATGAAAAAATCATGAGAAGAATCGAAAAAAATAACGTTCAAGCAACAAACAAAAACGATAGTATTCAACTACGAATATACTACTCCAATCAAAAATAAAAGAACTGGTTGATTTGTTCCGGATCATCGTATGCGACAAATATATAGTCAACATATCTGGCATAAATGTTTGCTACTAGCAACCCTGAACCAATCAAAATTGAATTTCACCATCGAGCACAAAAGTGAAAATTCATTGCCATTTCTGAATGTTTTGGTAACGCATGACGAACAAAAATTTACAACTTCCGTATACGTCAAAGCAACAAATAAAGATATTTTTTTAAATGGGTTAAGTGAATGTACGGAACAATTCAAAGTAAGTACAATAAAATCCTTTGTGAACCGTGCATTCACGCATTCATCTTCAACTGAGGATTTCAATACAGAAACGAAAAGAATTACTAATTTACTAGTAAGCAATGGTTACAAAACTTCACTCATTGAGAGCACCAGTGAACAAAGGCTATAGAAGGATAGAAATATATTAAAAAACAAAAATTACAACGACATAATCCTATACTACAGAAATCATGTCAACGGCACATAAATTATATGAAGTCGTTCTCAAACAAATCATAAAAAGAAATTTTACACCAATCAATGATACTTATAAAATAAAACTCAGAATATACTGCAACAATTGTAAGACACCACAATTGGTCTTAAAGAACAACTGCACTCATAAAGACGATTCTACTTTGAAGCGTAACCATGTAATATATGAATTTAAATGCCCTTTTGACGACTGTGCGCGTCAACAACATTCTTATATATAGGTGTTACGACAACTTCACTATCAAGACGTCTCACAATGCATGCATAAAGATGAGCCATCAAATCTCACTTGCAATCAACTCAAGCAACTCCAATAACCGCCAAATTCATGACAACAGCACAAAAATAATTTATCAATATATATATGTTGGTAATAGACCATAATTTTTACAATATTCTATAAATTCTACCGAATGTTTGGCGTTAATATGTTTGTAGTTCGTTTTTTCGATTTTTTTTAATAAATTTTTTGGTGAACGTTTAGTTTATTAAAATTCAAAATAAACATATTTTCCGAATTCATGCTGCAAATAAGGCCATATTTCGATTCCGAATGAATCATCATCATTGCAATTTAGTTTATATAGGGAAATATTCACTTTGCCAAAGTGAACTTAGATGGAAATTAGGTGTCAAATTTTTTTATTGGCTGGTCTATCTTCGTTGGTTTCCTTTTCTTCATGGATAGCATCATATTCTTCTTTGTCACTATTTACAATGCTAGTTTTTATTACTTCTTTGTTTTCACTGTTGATTAAGCGCCGGGTTGGGAATGAGGGTTGTCATTTTTTGTTGTATAATTATTTTCGGTTTATTGATGTCAATTAGGACTGCTTCTGCAATTTTAAGATGCGTGTAGTTGGTGTTCTGGTATATTACTTTGATGTTGCTGTCGAGGATTTCACGGCTTATAGTGATTGCGTATGTTGAGTCCAAATGAGATTTGATAGCACCACTCTGTTTATGCATCGTAAGCCTTCTAGTCAGTGAGGTAGTAGTAATCCCGATATATGAGTCATGTTGACGTGCACAGCCGTCAAAGGGGCAATTAAATTCATATATTACGTGATTACGCTTCAATACAGAGTTATCTCTAGGACTACAGTTGTTTTTCAGTATTAGGTGAGACGTCTTTTTATTGTTGTAATAAATTCGGAGTTTAACTTTACTATTTGGGTTGGTAGGTGTGAGATTTTTTATTGATGATATGTTTAAGAATAGCTTCATCTACTTTGTATGCAAATGACATGTGATTTCTGTAATATAAGATGATGTCGTTTTCTTGATTGTTGGTATTAGGAAGGTTATGGTTGTGTAGTAATTTGCCTTTAACAATCTTTTCAATAGAATAAGTCTTATATTCAACAAGCAGGTTGGTGACTCTTTTTAATTCAGCGTCGCGATTTTCAATATCGGAAGAGTGTGTGAATGCCCGGTTTACAAATGATTTTATTGTGCTGTCTTTAAATTGTTCGGTACATTCACTTTGTCCATTCAAACAAATTCCTGTGTTTGTTTCTTTGACAATAAACAACGATGAACGTCTCAGTAAAATAAACGTAAACCTTTCCATTGCCATTGAACTTCAAGCTGAAGCAAAGAAACAACATGGGAGTTTCCAAAGCAAGCTACTCAATGATGAAATGAAAGAAACAGCAAAACAACTGAGGAAAAATTGCATATATTTATATATATATATTTATTTATTTATTATTGATGAAAATCACAGCATATTCCGCATTAGTTATCTTCCTATTTAGTTTTCAATTTTTTTAATGGTAGATCGTGAATATGCTGTTTTTTGAGTTTAAAACCTAAATTTTTATTTATTTTAAGCATAATAGAACAAAAAACTTTTTTTTGGTATTCCTATACCATCTTCGGTGTTTGAATTGATACGTTGTGTATGTATCCAGAGGCTCATATATATATATATATATATATATATATATATATATATATATATATATAATATATATATATATACATATATATATAACAAATTTGGTTGAATGTTCTTGCCCATTTTGTATTAATTAATTTCTTTTGGGTTTGTTCAATAAGACGCAATTGTTGTAACTCAATTTTATTAAACTTGTCAAGCATTTCGAACGGCTAACGACGTCGTTTCGACAGTGTATGTCATCATCAGAGCCTACGTTTAAATTATTAAATAAGAATTGAATATTTAAAATTGTAAAATCAAGAAGAATAAACGAACCAAATTGAGAAAATATAAGCGTAAAATGATTAAGGAAATTAAATTAAAATTAATGTAAAAAGTATACAAAATTTGAATAAAGGTACTTAACTTGTCAATAAAATAAATTAAATGTTAAGATAACTGATAATAAAATATACAATATACAAAATATGTTAAATGAATTTCAAAAGTTAAATACTGGAAGTGAAGGTAGAAGTACGAATATCGATATTGCAAAATAATTTGGAATGACATACTTCTACTTCTAACTAGTTCTGCCTTGTGATCGCTTATTGAAGTGGAGTGTGTGAACGTTCTATTTACAAATGCTTTTATTGTGCTGCATTTGTATTCTTCCATGCACTCACTTATTCTATTTAGATATATCCCTTAGTTTGTTTCTTTCACATAGACCTTTGCAGTTTTCATCAACATCGTTTTCCATCTTACATTCCAAAATTTAAAAAAAATTAAATTCTTAATATTAATAGTTAAATTAGAAAACCTATCTATTTTATTTTTTAATAAATACTCATCCTGTTTCTTAATACTTCTTTCTATTGCTTTATTAATATCACTTTCTATTTGTTGTTTCTTTTTTTTAAGTGATACTTTTAAGAAAGTAGTAGTTCAGTAGCGTTGGCAAAAAGGAAAGATGGTTGGCTTTAAACTTTTTTAATCTTGGTCTTTCAAGATGATCAGTTTAGTTTTCCTGATCTAAAATTCAAATGAGTTATTGACCATATGATGGCCCCCTTTACAAAATAGCTTTCACATACCTAAGTAGGAAAATAAAATTCAATGACACATTTGATGTTTTTAGTGTAATAAAATTTAAATTAAAACAACACAAAAAAGAAGCTCACTAGCTCAGCTAGTATATTTAGTAAAATTAGTTAGAAAGATGCATAATGATTAAATGAAATTATTCAAAAAATTTTAAAAAAGTAAAAAAATTACTCAAGAATGCACAATTTTTTCTAGGGTTTGCCGATGTCCATTTTTGCAACAATCATTTTTATCAGTTGAAAAAA